TGCTAAAGTCTTCAGACGATTCTACATTAATGATGCACTAGAACTTCTATGAATCTAAATTATTTTACTAGTGATCCGAAGAGAAAGATTTTCTTCATTAATTCGGCCCTGAGTCCATTCCCTACAGGTGATCCCTGATTTATAGATTCTGGAAATATTATAGCCTAACTAGTACAAATCGGAAGTGACCTGATATTTTACAGAATGAGAGCCGAAAACCGGATCAAAAAAATAACCTATATGAATATATTACTATAAAACTAGGTATCGTCTTATATTAGCTTCATATACACGCGTCTTGTATATGAAAATAAAACGCATTTGAATAAAACCTACGCGGAGAAATAACTTTCTCTTATGAAATAATAAAACGCGACAAGGATGCGAATAATGATAAATAGAAACTAAAATGAATCATATGACAATAATAGAATGACTCACGTGAATATGAATATCAAAATTCAGAATTATTCATCTATTGTCAGCTCGATTTGCACAAATAATATTACAGATACTATAAAACATTTTATAGATCAAATTCCACCGAAACTAGGCATCATGCCTTAAGGCAAAATGTTTTTTGAATCATTCAAATCGGTTGATCCGTGCGCCCGAAAACGAGGACAATATTGTATCCGTACACACACATCAATTTTTTCTAAAGCATACCAAAATGTTTATATTTTGTTTAAACATTTGAACATTTATAAAAAAATTCTATTTCGATTTTAGGACGATTACAATAACTTACCCTACGAAAAATTAAAAAGGAATTATTGATAAGGTATAAAAGTATTTTTTTTAAATATTAATTAACTTCCCGTAGGGTAGTTATAGTAATGGGCCGAAAATCGAAAATAAAATTTTTTGCATTTCTCGACGTTTTGAAGGTTTCTGAACATTTTGGCATACCTCAGAAAAAATGGATGAGTGTGTGTGTGTATGAAAGTATTTTTTTAAATATTAATTTATATTAATTTCCCGAAAATAAAAATTTTGACTTCTGGTTGGTTTTTTCCCTGTGGGAACTACTCAGCAGACAAGGTCAACTACGAGATGACCTTGTCCTATCATAGAAATACCGGTTTGGTAGAAATACATTCAAAGATTAAATTAGAACTAAAATCATGAAATATAATTTTGAATTGTCTCGATAATAAATTACTTTCTAAAACGCAGATTGTAAAAACTTGTAAGCCGCTATACAATACTCTCAATTTATTTCAAATACTTATATTCATAACCTACTACCTATTAACAATTTTTATTTAAATTTATTAGTAGTTTCTAATGGAAACGTTAGTTGTTCGTAATGGAAAAAACGTGAATTTATATTTTTTGGTGTATCGGCCAAAAATAAATTGAATAATTGAGTGAATAAGAGGAGTGATTATTAAATCGTTCTTGGATGAATCAATATGCACACTGGTAAAATTTAACGATATATATAATTTACCCTACGAAAAATTAATAATAAAAGTTTAAATAATTGATATAATATATTTAATATTTATGCATAAGAAGCAATGAAGCATGAAAAAAACATCATATACCTTAGAAGACCATACTCTGCGCGTTTCCCGGGAAAATCCCGAAATTCCACCTTGCGTCCCGAATTTTTCTTGATTAAAGTTTGTAAATTATTATATTTATTTTAATTAGTTAACCGTCATTAATTTCTCAAAGAAGTGACAAAATTCGGTATATTCAAGAATATTATGAAAATAAAATATAAATCCGTTGGCTATTTTTGCCAATTGCAAGTTTTGAGAAAAAATAACATATCCTCAAATTTAAGTAGAATATTTTGAATATTAAGAATATTTTGAATATTTTCCGAAATTAAATAATAATTAAATCTCAAATGATTTTTTGTATCCCGGTATGCAGGGTTGACAACTGTATCAATTCGCTACAGAATTTATTGATTTTTACATGTTTTTTGCAAAATATAGAACAAGAACTCAATTTTCGATATGCTATTGTGCCTAATCATAAACAACAAGATTTAGAATCGTTATTATTATGATAATTTATTTCATATGACATTTTATCATTAAATTAATTTATAAAAATTTAATTTTGTTTTGGTTCTATAATAAACGCCACCAGTGGCGCTGCTATCCTAATCATAATTATAACAGATTCATATTTCTATGTAAATAACTGTCACCGCTGAATAATCAATTTCCTTAATTAATTTGTTACACTTTTAAAATACAAGAATTTTGGTAAATCAAAAATTATCAAATCAAAATCTAACAAAAAATGAGAAGCGCAAAGGCATTTAGAAATTACTCTATGGGAAAATATTTGCAGAAGCTTTTCAGAGGTGACTTTATCAGTTTTTCATAAAGAACTTTGTAATAAGAATAATAACATTTTTTTAAATAGATATAATTGAATAATTTCTGTTTGTTTTCCAATTTATAAATTTATAAGCTGAACGCATAAATATTGTGCCTGGAAGTACACTACCATGTACGAAAAATAAACTTTCGCTATGGGAAATTAATAATTAAATTATTTAGAAAAATTGAATGAATTACATATATTTGGAATAATATGAGAATCCAAATTATATTTTAAATATTATTAAGGCCAGAACGATCAAGCAAAGGTTAATTCTAGAGTAATGCGTAATATATAAAGTAGAGAACAATAGTGTCTTCAATCTAAGTTACAGAGTCTTCTTATCTAGTAGTTTTTTGTTAAAATATAATCTTTGCAACTATATATTATACTTATGAACTGCTATAATAATATTCAAGTCTATTTTTAAAATATCAAATTTGGTATTTAAAAATTAGCGCTCAATTTTGAACCCCAGAAATTAGTTCGAATAAGGTTATAATTTCCGATATGGCAGCACTAGCCATCAAATTTTTGCATTTGACATTTGTGTTACCACGGCATGCTCATATAGAGAAAATTATGAAAGCTATTTTAAGAATTTAACATAAGTTAACTAATTTTAATTTAAAATTTAATTAAAACAATTAAATTATTATTTAAATGATGGCTGCTGAATTAATGGAAATTGATTTTGAAAACACATCTAAAAATGAAATTGAAGATGGCGAAATTGCTGAAGACATTTCAGACCTTCCATGTAGAGTTTATGAGAATAATGAAAAGGATATCTTTACTACAGGTAATAAACTCAATTTGACTTGTAAAAATAAGAGATTTAATACCTTTTAATTCATGATTATCACTTTCCCAGGCATAGACATATTTAGTGCTAACACTCAAGAAAAGTTGAATGAAAGAGCTAAACGTTTTAATATTGATCCCAGTAGTACCACAGCTTTAACCGATACTCAAATTAATGAATTATATTCAAGTTTGGGCATTACGCAACCCTTGGAGGATCCAAGTATCAGGTTTGATGCTGTGCATTTGAGGGGCACTGAAGAAATGAGTACTGAAGATGTTTTTCAATACTTTAAACTTTACGGTCCTGCAACAATTGAATGGATAAATGATTATTCATGTAATGTTGTATGGCTTGATAAATCATCAGCTGCTAGAGCCTTGAAAGGAATGTCTAATGCCATTGAGGGTAATAAATTATTCAAATACTGTTACATATGTACAAAATATAACATAATTATACTATTACAGATGTAGCATCAATACAAACCCCAATGCCTCCTGGATTTTGGAGATTGGGCTCCCCTTGGCCTAATGCTAAAGAGTTATTGATGCGGTATGCAACTACCAAAGATAAAAAATGTTTGAAAGCAGAAAAAGCAAGTCATTATTACAAAAAATATGGTAATCCAAACTATGGTGGCTTGAAAGGTGTTATTACTGATAGGAAACGCAAACAATTTTATGACAACACAGATAATGAAACCGGTGGTAAAAAGAATCCATGGGGAGATCTTTCAAGAATGTGGGCAGACTCAGAAGATAATTATGATCATAGGTAATATATAAATATTATTATTACATACATTGAATTGCTTTTAATTGTTTATTATTAATTTCAGCCAAAGACCGAACCCCAAAATAAGTCAAGCTTTGAAAAATAGAATTGGAAAGAAGAAAGCCCTTGTCAATATCCAAAATACATCGGATTTCAGTGAAGAAAGTGATAATTTTGAAGACATTCATAAAAGAATTAAAATACCTCGTATGAAAATGTATGCAGATGAAGAAGAGAAACGTTTGAAAAAACTAAACAAACCTAAAAATCACATAACACCAACTGAATATGACGATCATGATTATAATAGCATTACTAGAACTGTTGAAACTTATTCTGACAACAAACCTAAAATTAAACCCGATGTTAAAGACCGACTGGGTGGTTATGTAGATGATTATCAATATGAGTCAGATTATTCCGATACAAAGAGCGAGGATGGCATTATAATGGGAAAATATGGCAGTGTAATAAATGTTATTAAAAATGAACCTGACCATAAACCGTTACTGGCTTCAGAAATCTCTACAAATTTAGTAGAAAGACGTAGAAATAACACATCTGAAAGTAGTTTATCAAATTCTGATGAGGAAAGCAAAGTATCAAGAAGAAGCAGAAGCTTCAGTAAACCCGGGTTTGATAAAGCAGACTTAAGATTACGATTAAGTAGTAGATCAATTTATAATTCGTGATTAATTTAGTATTAGGCTAGAAATTAATATAAATGTATTTTATATTTATTTTTATATAAGATTTGTAAATATTTATAAGCTAATTATGAAAATAAACCTTGAATTGGGTTCAAAAATCATCTAGTTTACTTAAATTAAAGCTTTAATTTTATAGTTTTGAAGCAACATGAAAAAACAATAAAAAGTTCCAATAAGAAATTAATGTATCTTGATGATAAATGGAAAAAGAAGAGGAAAGGAGCTAACCACTAAATTCAAACCAATGAAATTCAATTTAGATAAATATTTTTATAAGATAAAATAACAAATATAATGTATAAAAATAATATATTACGTTTTATATATAGTAGAATACTTGAATAATAGTTGAGCCCATGTGCCATATCAACTTTTCAATCTTTTTTAATATATCTTTCAAGAAGCTCTTCACCCTTGGGATCAAACTCAGAAAGCTTACGATAGCCTTCATCTTCCACAAAACAAATCTCATGACCGTCAGGATCAGCAAGAATGATAACTCTTACCTTCAAGAAAAAAAATCATTGAAATATTCACTTAGCCTGCTGAAACTATTCATAAACTTACAGAAGCCTTTCCTGGTGTTGGCAAAACAAGCAAAGGAGTAAGAATTGTTTGATTATTATCCCTGATTGTTTTATCAATAATTTCTTGTTGAGCAAATGGACAAGAGAATGCTATTCTTCCATAAGCCTTTGCTCTGTCAACAGCATTGACTTGATTGAATTCAATTTTAGCTTGATTATCAGCAAAACCAAAAACAGCTCTTTTAGCTGCATCATCTTTTTCATACATTTTTAATCCAAGAATCGAGTTCCAATAATTAACAGTATTTTGCAAATCAGAGCATGACAATGAAACCTTCACCACTGGATCTGTAATAAAACATCTACAGTACAATTCATGATCTTATTCCCATAATAAATGATTCATTTATTACCAGCATCAGTAGGCTGTGGTTCATCCAAAATGTAATACTTATAGTCTCCTGGGGCTTCCAAATATTTGAGACCGTTTTCCTCTTTAATAGGCCAAGAATTTGCTTTTGCTCTCTCAAGAGCTTCACGAGATCTGATTGTGATGCCTCTAAAGTCATTACCTTTTTCATAGCTTTTTATTCCATAATTGTAAGTCAATTCGATTACAAAATGATCATCTTCTGATCCATAACCAATCATTGTTTTGCTCCAGCGGTTTGCATAGGGGCTGAAGGGGAAAGGATATAGGAAAACTATGTCTTTAAAAAAAGATAAATGTTTGGTTATTATTACCCATTGCAAGCGGCTTCACAACCTTCACTGAATTCTTCATGACGCAATACCTTAAGAAAAATAAAAATTGTTTAACAAAGTATTTATAAAATTTAAAATAATGCAATAGAACTCACCTTCATTCCGAGTACATCCTTATAGAATTTATAGGTTAGTCTTCTTTCTGGTATTTTAAAAACAAAATGTAAAGCTCGTCCGCTTATCATTTTTAATAATCAATTCACGTCGATTTAATAAATTATTAAGAAACTTCAACTTATTAACAAATATTATCAAGAAGACAAAACCCTTTATGTGGTCTTTGACTACCAAACGGAAAATGACAAATAAAATTATATTGTCCAGAGAAAATGACCTTGATGCAACTTATAATCGAACTACCTGTAGGACAGGGCTTACAGGTATATAAGATAAAATGTCCTTGTAAACATTTTTTTTTTTTTTTAATGTTAGCAACACTGTATGGAGGCATTATGTGCTGTCCAAAAGTCTGCGAAGATAAATTATTAAATAATGGTGTATGGCAACGTGGCTCAAGGCAAATTGCTGGAACTTCCCGTACCGTAACGAAATGATCGAGGAATATTAAATGTTTTATCTTGTTTGAATTATTTTCGATATACAAAAAAAATTTTTTTGAAAAAAAAAAACTGGAAACAAAAAATTTTTTTCTTTCAAAAGCAATTATTTTGTTGAAACAGACAGAAAGTTCTTTGAATGATTCAAATCGGACGCTTAGTTCTCTCAAAAACTGCAATTTTTCGCACATTTAGCTCTGTATCTCCGAAACGGCTAAACCTGCCTTTGCGAAAAACTAATCACCACTTCTCCCCGTCATAACGAATTTAATAGTTTTTGGATCATTCAAATCGGATGCTCCGTTCTCTCAAAAACTCGATTTCTATTTTCTCCACTCTTTGCTCCGTATCTCCCTAACGGCTCGACCTGCCTTTGTCAAAAAGTAATCAGCACATGTTCCTATCAATAGGAATCGAATTTTTTTTAACCATTTAAATAGGTTGATCCATGCGCCCGAAAACGTGGCGAAAAAATTCACATACAAAACACACACACACATCCTTTTTTCTGAGGTGTGCCAAAATGTTCAGAAACCTTCAAAACATCTAGAAATGCAAACATTTTCAATTTTAATTTTTGGCCCATTACTATAACGGAAAGTTAACAATGCTTTTATATTTAAAAACCACCAACTACAAAAACCATGTTCCATCTTCTATATTTCTAAATCTTCAAAATTGCAAATTGAAAGTGACAGAGCATCTACACACAATAAAGCATAAAATTTAAAATTTTCGTGTTCACACAACTAGAGAAAAATCAAAAACATTTCACTGAAACATATTAATTATTTAAATAAATATAAATATGTAGAGCGAGATTTCTATTTGAACTCGAATTTCAGTCGTATATAAGTTCCGTGCTTAAATAGATATATAAGTACCTAATAATTTTGTAAGATGATTAAATTAAAATTCATTTATTTAATATTTGTGATTAGTTTAGATGTTATATTTAGTGAAAATTATACAAGTGAGGAAGATGACTTTATGTTTTATGAAGATAATGATTATATTTTCAACAATACGAGGGGCGAAACTAAATTAACATGGCCTGGTAAATAATAATAGATATTTGCATTTCAACAAATGCATTATGTTCGATTTTTTATAACTAATGATCGACTTTTCATTCTAATTTTATTGTACACACTATGTGTGGTAACATGCATTTAATAACTGTCATTATTCTAGAGACAAATTCAAAATAAATAATCTTTCTGTCCTTGATATACTATTTATAGAATCATACAATATTTACATTTTTTCAGACATTGATGTTAACTATTATTGGTATATCAGTCTACTTGTAATAGATAGCATGTATCATACATGCAAATATAATTTTATTAATAAATTTAATTTAATTAATAAATGCATACATGATGTATGTATTTATTCATAGATAAATGAAGAGTATTTATTAGTAGAATTTATTTATTAGTAAATTTATTAATAAAATTAAATTTGGTTAATACGTGCGTGAAGTTGTCAACATGATATTATGACTTAACCGTTAAGTCGTTAGTTAGTTATGACTTAAACCGTTAAGTCGTTAGTTAATTACGACTTAACCGTTAGTTAATTATGACTCAACCGTTAAGACTTGACGTCTCTCAGACTTCTCTGAACGTTATATAGACATATGCTTAAATATTATAAGTATCAGAATATTTGGTTATTTTTTCTAAGTCGTTTTAGTAAAAATATTTATCTATGTTCTAATTTTTTAAGGAACTGCATATTGCGGACCAGGAACAAGCAACTTCATTTTTAACGGCTTAGGAGCTTATACAGAAGTCGACGAATGCTGTATGCAACATGACATGTGCGAACATTTTATGTTGCCAAATGAAATAAAATACAATTTAACAAACACATCGCCGTTTACAAGGTTAATCCCAAATTTAAAATTTATTTATACAAGGTCCTCCAAATAACTTATTTTGAGAATGCTATAAAAAACTTCTGAATACTTTCTAAAATTTCTTTTTCATTTGAGTACAATCCTTCCGGTTAATAATGCTAACTAATTTCATTTTAATGGCTGCCTAACTCATGAGTTTGGCCGACTTTTAAATGGCGGCTCAGTGCTGACTTCTAATTGGTGGTCAAAAAAGTTTAAATGGCTGCTGAAAAAATTAAATGGCGGACCTTTTATACGCATAAAAACTGACCTTATATTTTTAGAATGTCCTGTTCCTGCGATAGACAACTGAAAAAATGTCTTAAAGAATCTAACAGCTCAAAATCGAAACAAATTGGAATGGTCTACTTCGGTCTTTATGGAATTATAGGAAAATGTTTTGAATTCACACACCCATCGCTTTGCAAAAAACGAAGGTAATAATAATAAATAAAATATTATATTACCAAATATTTGTCAATTTTTCTGATTTTACTACAAATTTGCATTTTAGATTTCGTAGATGTATAGAGTATAGATACGATTGGAGCTCACCTGAGAAATATCAATGGTTCGATCTGCCTTTGTGGCAGGATAATATCAAACATAATTAAATATGTACAAATTATTTATTTTATTTATTTAATTTATAATGCATTGGAAAATAATATAATTTTTTTCAACAATCTGATCTGTTTCAATTTAAGTAATACACGCGTTTAATAAAGTTAGTAAGACATTATTATACTGCAAATTTTTATTTATTTTCATAACAGTAAATGACTTTCTGGTCCAAAAGTAACAATTTTATTACAATGACAACCGCATAACTCAATAATCATAAAATGATTTTAAAAATGTGGCACGATTTTTTTTATTACACATATAAATGTAAAAATTCCGTTAAATAATAAAAACGTTCATACATAAAACCATTTCGTAAAAAATTGGTTTACTGGATTCAATTTGTGTTCATCCTTCCGGAAACGAAATTTTAACTAATATTAGAAAATGTTCGTTATTTTTATTTTAATAAAATAAAATTTATTATTCAAATGTGTCTACATGATCGAAATGTTTTTGATAGCGACTACAACAAATTGATATCATTTTAATATTATAAATTATTATAAACTTAAACATAAACAAATTGACTTTGTTTCACGCTTAATAAAAATAGATAAATCGCTATTGATGATAAACTGGCTGCAACCTGAAAAAACACAAATAATAGTCATTATAGATATAGATATTGTTTATCATAAAAATTATTTGTTAAATTTGATTTAAATAAATTAAATTTATTAATTTAATAAATTGTGATAATATTAATTTAATAAATAAAAAAAAAATATTTACCACGATTACTACAATATTGGGCCATCTTCTAAACATTATTAACAAAAAAACTAAGGTGCTAAGAATAAGCATCATACCAATAGGCAATATGGGACTTGCCTCCCAAAAATGGTGTCTTTGAGAATCATCTATAAAAAAAATTAGAATTTAATTTTTTATTTATATTTCATAAACAATTTTTTTCTCACCGTTAGCAATAGTTATTGGCAAATTTATATTAAAAGTCCTGGCATGCCAATGTTTTTCCACTGATGACTGATTATTTATTCTATCTACTTTAAATTCATCAATTTTTTCATAATTTTTAATTATATTCTGTCTTGGATATGCTCTCAAATTTATGCTAGGTGTCATTAAAGATGTATTCTAGGAAAAAAGTGTTTTATTAGTTATCAAATTAACTCAAATATCAAGAACTAACTAGGTGTAAGTGGCATTTGCTTCAAAGGAAGGTGTCTAAACTTTTTAATAAATTGGAAGTGAGATTATACAACTGTTAAAATCTTCACAATGGATAATTGTCAATTAGAACAATTTTTGGTTTTCACAAAATAATAATGCTTTTTCCAATTAATATTTTGCAAACAAACTTATTTATAATTTTTGGCCAAAACGTTCACAAAAAAATTGCACTCCGGTAATTTAAAAAAAACGGCTAGGATGATCGTCGCGCGAAACTAACCAATACGAGACCTTAACGAGTTTCATGAGTTTTGAAATCGTTGCAGGCGTTTTTGAGAAAACGTCGATGTAAGGTCAAATTTTGGCTCACACACACACTTTTTCTAAATTGCTATGAATGATTCGAAATGATTTGAAACTTCTCGAAAACATAAATATAGCAAAACTAGTTTTCTGGCGAATCAAAAAACTGCTTAAGAAAATTTCATAATTAAAAGATTAAAAAACTAACATATCAAAATGTATTTTTCATACAACCGATCACTTTTAATTATTTCAGATATGTAATACGTACTGTTCAGTTCAAAGAAGCATTTTGACCTTTTATCAACACTACCATAACACTTATATTTATGTCTCTATTTGTACATACCTTCTGATGAATTTGTCTAAAATATTTTGCTCTATTTAAGCGTCTATACTTTTTATCTAAATGCATTTTTTCACTTATACATTTAGTAAAAAATTACGTTTTTCTACATCTTCGCAAAAAATAATTTGCAAAGAAATATGATATTTCATATGAACTATGTTGCATTATCGAAGAATGTGCACGCACTGTTATTGCAAATAAACAAATATTGTTTTGATGGAATTTATATGGACATTGAAACACAATATTATAGAAATATGAATCCTACATATACATACAGATAATAATAATGAATGGTTTTAAATTGAATTGGAAAAATATGTAGAAATGCAGATTATTCTGGATTTCTTCTGTAAAATACAAATAAGCTAGCTTATATTATCAGCTGATGGATATATTGTTAAGGTAGTAAGTAGGTATTGCAGAAGTTGTAAAAATTAATACATTGCATAATTTGTCACAAATTAAATTTCCAAAAATATCAATTTACGATTACTATAACCTACCCTACGGAAAGTTAAAAATGTTAAGATAAATCTTTTCCGAAATTTTGGTGTCAAATAAATTTAAAATAACTGGACACGCCAGAAAATCGTAATGAGCAATTCAATTTTCTAGCAACAACAAACTTAAACCTTTCCACTCCGATCCCGCCGCCCCAACGGCAAAATTCATATAAATCTCAGAATTCGCGAGTGGAAAGGGTTAAGTTACAACATAAACTTAAAAAGAACTGTTGTTCGGGAAGTTAATAAATTCTGCAAAAGTACATTAATTTTTATAACAATCTCATTCATATCTCGCATTTATTAATATGTAATTTTAATTGAACAAATACATGCTCAAAAAATAAACGGTTTGTTGAACTAAACAAGTCCAAAGTTTCAATGCTATCTAAAAATATACATAATATCTGTCTGTATTAACTTTTGCTGATATACAAAAGCTATTGTATCATCTGAAGAAAGGACAAATTATGTATGTATTTGATCACATTTATGTTAAATTTACATTGAGATAATTTGAAATTGAAATTTTGTCATACGACATGAGAACATATTAATAATCGCGTGAATCTAATTTGATTTATATCCAACATATACATTTGTGAAACAATAAATTAATAAATATTTAGAGAAATAAAAATGAAAGTACAGAAAAATTCTGTAGTACTTTCACTATATATAAAAACTAGTTGGTTTGGTATTTAGCCTTGAGGCAAGTTACATGAACTTCCCGAAATGTGTTAATAATCGACTTAATAAAAAAAGTGTGTAAATAATATACTTCATTAATCCTACTTTAAAAAAAAACGATAATAATTTTAGCAAACTTTGACGAATTTTTAAAATTAAACTACTTGTCGTTAGGCCGTAATATTACAGTAAGTTCTATAAGACCATGATGTATATCGCCAAAAAAATTTACATGAAAATCGGCTTAAATTTTTTTTTCAACAGTTAATTACAAGAAAACGGCTCGGTAGATTTTCACCTAAAATTAATCAGTACCATTCCCAACTAATATCTTTCAAACAGTTTTTGATATTTTAAAATCGGTTCGGTAGGATGAGCTTAAATGTCGACGAAAATTTAACACTTTTTTTCAACAGTTAATTACAAGAAAACGGCTCGGTAGATTTTCACCTAAAATTAATCAGTACCATTCCCAACTAATATCTTTCGAACAGTTTTTGATATTTTAAAATCGGTTCGGTAGGATGAGCTTAAATGTCGACGAAAATTTAACACTTTTTTTCAACAGTTAATTACAAGAAAACGGCTCGGTAGATTTTCACCTAAAATTAATCAGTATCATTCCCAACTAATATCTTTCGAACAGTTTTTGATATTTTAAAATCGGTTCGGTAGGATGAGCTTAAATGTCGACGAAAATTTAACACTTTTTTTCAACAGTTAATTACAAGAAAACGGCTCGGTAGATTTTCACCTAAAATTAATCAGTACCATTCCCAACTAATATCTTTCGAACAGTTTTTGATATTTTAAAATCGGTTCGGTAGGATGAGCTTAAATGTCGACGAAAATTTAACACTTTTTTTCAACAGTTAATTACAAGAAAACGGCTCGGTAGATTTTCACCTAAAATTAATCAGTATCATTCCCAACTAATATCTTTCGAACAGTTTTTGATATTTTAAAATCGGTTCGGTAGGATGAGCTTAAATGTCGACGAAAATTTAACACTTTTTTCAACAGTTAATTACAAGAAAACGGCTCGGTAGATTTTCACCTAAAATTAATCAGTATCATTCCCAACTAATATCTTTCGAACAGTTTTTGATTTTTTAAAATCGTTCGGTAGGATGAGCTTAAATGTGGACGAAAAGTTTTTTTCAAATCACAAAGAAACGGCTTGGCAGATCGTTGCACAAAACTGACAAACGATAGTCCTCCACGAAATACATCAAATGGCTTTTAAATTTCTAAAATCGGTTCAGGCGTTTTTGAGAAAACGTCGATCAAAAGTCTAATTTTGACAAATGCCAAAAAGACCATACTGATTTTTGCAAACTTTGACAAATTTTTAAAGCTGAACCAGTTGTCGTAGGGCCGTAATATTTTAGTATGATCTAGAAGACTATGGTATCTATCGTCAAAAAATAATCATAAAAATCGTCGAAATTTTTTTTTTAAAAACTTTATTACAAGAAAACGGCTCGGCCGATCTCTACCAAAAACTAATCAGCACGATTCCCAACCAATATCTTTCGAACGGTTTTTGAATTTTCAAAATCGATTCAGAATTGCGGGCTAAAACGTAGACGAAAAATTTTTCACTTTTCTGCCATTTATGAAGAAACGGCTTGGCCGATCGTCGCACAAAACAGACAAACAATAGTTCTCGTCGAGATACATCGAATGGCTTTTAAATTTTTGAAATCGACCCAGCCGTTTTCGAGAAAACGTCGATTTACGGCAAGAAATCTGTTCACATACACACACACACACACACACACACACACACACACACACATACTTTTTCCAAATTTGGTCTCATTCGATTCAGAATGGCTTGAAACGTCGAGAAAACATAAAATTAGCGAATCGGGTTTTTTGATGAAAACATAAACTTCTCCTTCGGGAAGTTAATTAAGATCGACAAATGCAATTTGATACTGTATCTTTTAAAATGAATATGAGGAGGATAAAATTAACAAAGGAGGCGTCCAATAATCACGTGATTGATTTTTTTAGGAATTTTGGGACCCCCTTTTCTGGGTCAGACTTTTTCCAAATTTGGTCTCAAACGATTCAGAACGACTTGAAACGTCAAGAAATCTATTATCGGACTTTTTTGGGAATTTCAAAATTACATTTTCACATAGTTTTATAACAAACAACAAAATATTTCACTGCATATTTATTACATTCAACAAGACTTGCAACTATTTTTAAAATATTATTCTGAATTACAGCTCTTGAATGTGAAAAGTTTGAGAGACAAAATATTGATCACTTAATTCATAATTATAATAAATTAAAAAATTGTATACTTCATGAAATATTTAAGGCACAATAGTAAAAAGTTAATTTTTATAAATCATAAACAGAAAAGTAACATACAAGACATCATACACATGCATTACAGATATTTTTCCTTTACTGTATAGAATCAAAGCTCTGGTATAAAAACTGGAATGGTACTTAATTTTATAATTATAATTTAGTTTATAAATTTCCTTATTGCATACAAGACAATATTTTATTATATAAATTGCAATTCCATTATATAAATAGGTATAACAAATGTTTTAACAAAATTTTATATACAAAATAATGTACAGACATAGGGTTCATAAAAATGGTTCAAATTTTTTCAATATTGCTTCAAATTAAATAGTAATACTTTGCAACATTTGTATATAAATTGAAACAATATGAAACATTTAAACAAATCACGCAAAACGCCTTTGCCCATATCACAAAAAAATATATATAATCATACTTAATAACTTTGGTAGAATGTAGACCTTTATCATAGACGCTACAAACTACTTCGTCGAATTAGAAAAAATGTATCTATTGCTAAATTATAAATCATAATTTATAAAGATGTATGAAAATTCTACATTTTTATTACATATCTTGTTTATATATTTAAAATAAAATATGTTGAAAAATCTCTGATAATATACATATATATTAAAACTTTGAAAAATAAATAGAAAATATATATACTAACTTTATATATGTAAAGTGCTATATCTGTTTTTTAAAATATATCATATATTAAAGTATCTATTGGAAAATTAAAAAACCACAGCAAAAATAAATAAAAATATCCACACACGATATAAGCCCAGACTCAATTCACTAATGCTCTCTGAGGCTCATTTTCAATATGTTGCAATCTTGTTGAACTATGTAATGCTCTATCAATATTCATAGAATCTCGCAGGCTTTCAATGTTCATGGTTTTATTAACACTTTGTATGGCGCTGCATTTTGAAAGCAATTCCACAACCTGAGCATCTGTAATCGAGTTAACTTTCGATTCGCTTCTCATTATCAGTTTACTATTGTCAGTACTAGAGCCGACACACATTTTTGGGTTGATATGAATGTCTTTATTCATACTGCAATCAAAAGTATTTCTTCTTAGTTCATTTGAATCTGCTTTTATCATGATCACGTTTTTATTTTTTACAACTTCAAGCTCATTTTCAGAATTAAATTTTGCTTTGTCTTCATTTTGTTTATCAGGACTTTTCATAGATTTATTGACATGCTCATTTGATTTAGAACAACTTAGATTTTCAATGGACTCGCTGCAACAAATGTCAGATATATAATTATCATTCAGTGATAAAGAATTCCTGATGTCGACTCTGTCTTCAACAACTTCTTGTATATTCTCTACCAAACTTTGGCTTTTTGGCATTAAATTTGAGTTATTAGTTTCTTCTTCAACATGTTTATCTGAGTCATTCATCATTGGCTTTAAAAATGGTGCCATTCTGGATACCCAATGGTCACCTGATATACTACTAGAAGCAGATGGAATTTCTGAGCTCCCTTGTTTTCTTTGATAGAATAAAATGTAAGCCTTATTATTTAATAAAGCATCTTCCACATTATTCTCAATTTTAGTAACTTTTACATCATCAAACATATACCATTGCAAATCAAATGGATTTTTACAAGCCGCTGTGTAATGACCAGTTTCTAAATCATTGCCTTGATGGTAACAGACAGCATATAAATCATATAAATTTTCATTTACTGGATTTTCTACTAAAGGTCTTTTCCAAGGAGACCAGGATTGGCCGTTGTGAGGTGAGTAGTTCTTTTTGGAGGTAGAATTTTCAGGCCTCGATAGATGAGGAGTCATATCAAAATCACACAATGGGAAATAAACCATGGTAGACAATTTTGTACTTCTATTGCCCTTAATTTGTTGCCTGAAAGAAATCTATATGTAATAAAAAAAACATATTAATAAAAAAATCATTTATTATTTACTCACTGCCTGAACCTCTTAAAATGTATTACTAGTATATCAGGTAATGACCACAAGCCCAAAGTCTTAACAACCGGCATATACTTTTGACAATGTGGACACCTCCAGGCATCTTCATCAGAGAGAGTCTCTGCTCTGGTATAATGTTCTAAGCACTGCTCTAAAGTTAGAGGATTTGCATTTTCACTTTTGGACAGCACTTCAGACACACTAAAATGATCTTCTAAAACATCCTAGAAGAAAAAAATAAATAGTCAATACCATGATTGAATTGTTAAATAAAAAATAAATACCCCTGGATGTTGAATAATTTCTTCATATTCTTTCATAGACCATTCTAACTGAAGCTTTACATGTGGAGGTCCGGCATCAGGTGGATAAACAGATAAGCACATATCAATAGTTTCAGTGAATAGTGGATGTTCAACCTGGGTAAATAAAACAAATTCTTGTGGGTAATAGCAATGTATAAAAACAAATTCTTGTGTGCAATTAAATAACAATACCTCCATATCTAAATATACTGGACAATCTTGATCATGAAAGTGGTCTGCAAGTCTTGGCCTGAAAACACCTAAATTCTGTGTACGTTCTAAAACATCATCATGCACCATGAGTGCCATTTCTTTCAATATTAATTTTTGTAAATCACAATATCCAACGTCTCTGGGTACTTGCATTACATATGGTGACCCTAAAAATAATCAGGATTATTAAAAATTAAATATTAAATATATAAATAATATGTATTTACCAAATTTATCTTCTTCCCCATTTTCATGCACCAAAATATTAACCCAACATAGTAATAAATAAGGTCCTCCATCTATGCTTGGTAATAAATCAGTCTCATTAATAGAAATTACACCGTTATTTTGTAAACTAGTTGCACTGTTTTCTGTTGTATCGCTAATACTATCTAATAAGGGGGCTTCTATGCAATAAATTGGATCATCAACACACAACAATGAGGCAGGTTGAGAATCACAAAAAGTTCTGGTAAAACCTGCAATATATAAGGCTTAGAGAATAGTTTGTAAGAGGTTACATATTGAGGTAGCACTTAATGTACCTTGTTTTCCAATTTCAATTAACAACAATCTAGAAATCGGAATTCCTGTGTCTTCTTGTAATATTTCCCTCAATGCTGCTATGGATGATCCTAAGGGTATACTAACACCTAATCTAACTTGCCTTGGTTGTTGAGAATTATATAACACCTACAAATTAAAATTAAATCGATGAACTAAAAATATGTTCTATCAGCAGAAAAATGATTTTTCTAACTTACTGTAATAACAATATGTTGCAATTGTATTTGTGGTAATTGGACGCTTATGCACTGGAATGGATCAAATGTATTGCTCTGTCTATGACATTTTGGGCAAGTTAATGAGGATCGAAATTGAGCTTGAAATACGGCTTGCACAAAAGAGCTGTTACAGCGTACATGATTTGCAAGCGTTTCTGCTGCAACAACTTCATCAGGCCTGCCTTGTGAATTCTATACAACAAACAATATTTTTATATTAGAAAGCAACCAACTCTAGTTAAAAATATTAAAAATATGACTTACCTTTATTACTTTATATTTTCTTTTGGTAGCTACATTTAAATCTTCATGGACTTTGTCTAACAACCAAATTAAAAATTCTTGAGCATCATGTTGAGCTGAACCTCTGAATTGTGATCCATGACGTTCAACAACAGTCTAGAAATAATTAAAACAATTTACATGTGTATAATATATATATATATATATATATATATATATATATGCCTAAATAATATTGTTTACCTTAAATCTTGTAGTTAACTCAGGACTATCTTTGCATGCCCATAATGCTTTAAGCATTAAAGCCAGTTGCTCTGTAAGTTCCCCTTTTGTACCATTTTTCTTTGAATTAATTTTGTTCCTTCGACTCAAATCGATCTAAAAATTATATAGGTCAACTTGTTGTTACAGAACATATGTTATTATAAACATTAATACCTTATATTGGTCTAGAACAAAATATTCTGCCAAAATATCAGTATGACTCAAGCATTGAATAACAGCATTCATAAAGCACGTATTGCCATGGTTCCGAAGTCCAGTTACTCCTGGTGTTTGATCTGGAGGCCATGTGTAACTTTCAAGTGGTGGAACTCTATCCATAGCATTATGTTTTATCTGTTTTCAAGAACAAAGGTCAAAATTATCTATAAAACACTATTTAATAACAAAATAAAGCTTACCCTTGGAACTCCTACTGAATTCATGTGCTGAGCGATCTTGTTGATAAATTTCTTCCATGAAGGTCGTCTGAACACTTTTCTTCCTGCCCTATCATTGTCATCAAACTTGTTATTATCTGTATTTTCGGTGTTATTTTGCTCATTTTGACCATTATTTGCATTCAACTTTCTTTTTATGACTCGTACACTGCCAAAGGGATTCCTCGGCAAAGTGAAAGAGCGTACAAGTTTGTTTGGGGAACCGTTTGTTTGCGAAACATTTGACATGTTTGGTAAAATAAAGCTGCCACTATTGTGAATTTCACTTTGCACCATGTAAAAATGCACATAGGATGTTTTTGTAGTTTTTATTTACTATATAAACACACCTAAATGACATAGTACATAAAAGAAATTAACAAAACGTCAAATTACGCCATTTTGAAAATTACAAAGAGACAGATATCGCTTATAAAGAGGGTAACATCAGATCCGAATTTAGAGAATTATAGTTGTCTTGAATAATTTAATTACATACGAATCTTCAATTTATTTTAATTTAAATCTTCACTATTCTTAATTTTCAATTTTTTCTGTTTCTTGATTTAATAATAAAAGCTTTTTTTAATTTACTATCTAAAAACACAACCAGAAATGTCTGATCTTATTTCTGTTCTATGCTTGTTATCATATTTTTGACATTTATCAGATTGATAAAGGATTCGATGTATTTTCTTAAAATTTTGTGTAAATAATGGATTAACTTAAATTAAAAACATATAATTAAGTTAAAAATGTATTTGTATTCACATAATAATTATGTAAAATAAATTTATTACCATCTGAATTTCGAAATGGGTGTATTTTTATATGGAAGTTTAATTAAGAGAACATTTAAATATAGAAATTTACGAATGTGCCAAAAATATAAATTTAATAATTATAGTTCAATTAATAATAAAGAAAATAATAGTGAAAAAGAAAATGATCAGGTATTCTTGCTGCAAAAATTCGAAGAAGAATGCCCATTGATACTTTAAATATATTAAAACTTCTGAAAAGCTCGGAAAAATGTTTTATTATTAAACCTATAATGTTCGTTTATTATTTTCATATTTTAATATTTATTTTTCATTTCAGGAGATATATATTATCCCAAATAAAACTTTAACAGGCATACAGTTATTAAAAAAAAGTCTTCTCTGAATAATGAAAAAAAGCTATTTAACAATATGAAGAACAGTTTAATAAAAGTTATTAAATGAATAACAAATAATGATACAGGATGGTAAAAATATTGTTAACAAATTACAGATTATTATATATTTAATTGTATTAATAATGTACAAAACTAACACCAAAAATCGTGGCTAATATACAATTTCAATCCAGTATTTTTCAGTTAGAATTTTGTATATTCTTTAATTGTACATCAATAAATTTTTAACTAAACTTTTTCCATGCTTCATCATATTTTTGATGAATATTTTGTGAATTTTTAATTAAATTGTATTATCTTTTATATTATTTTTGAAGTATTCACTGAGGACATTGTTTTTCTTTTTAATATCTGTATGGATACCTGTTGAAGTATTTGTTTTATGATTTTAATTATTTCTTTTTGATACTTGGATGCCTTTTAAAAAGTTTTTTTATTTATAATTATAAGGTTTTAATTCAATTGTATATGTCAGATGTAATTTTATTTATTACATCTGGTAATAATAAAATTCAAACAAATAATTTGTTTTATTTTACTTAATTTATGAAATTTATTTAAAATAGAATCAATTCAATAATCGGTTATATAAATATATCAGAAATATGTATAGATTATAGATTAATACATTAATTTGAACAAATGTATGTTATATTTGTAGCTAGTTTTGGAATCTTTTATCTCAAAATCATTTTATATAAAATTTACTTCAAACAAAAAGTGTGAAAAAAAAATATATATATAATCTAGTTCAATTTTATATAAGATTAAACCTGTTTTTTTTTAAACAATGATGAATTTAAAAAAAAGTAATCCTAGACAAAACCTATTATGGTTCTTTGGAAAATTCTTTGGTGATTATTTATCACAAATGAGAATAGCATAAGCAGAGCTTTATTTTTCTTAAAAGAAAGTTAATCAATGGGCATTTTTCTTTGATAAATAGTATTGCAAATATTAAGATTAATATTTATTATTATATTATTATATATAATTGTAGAACAATTCAATGCCTGAAGAGCCAACAACTTGCTGTATGTCAGGCTGTGCAAATTGTGTATGGATTGAATATGCAGAAAAATTAACAAAATATTATTTAGCAAAAAGTAAAGATCTAAATAATTCAAATGATTTTGCAAAAGTCAAAAGTCACATTTTAAATAAGGTATAGGAAATAACAAATCATTCTCTTTAATGCAAATATTGATAATTTGTATTAAAATTTGCAGGTATCTGATTCTAATATGCAAGCTTACTTAATGATGGAGCTTCGGATTCTAGAGAAAAAAATTCAAGATAAAACTTGACCATAGTCTGGCACTTATTTTTAGAAATATTTTTGTTATACATATTTATTTAAATGAATAAATGTTTATATATATTTAGAAAATAATAAAGTTTCTTATTTTCTTTTTTGAAGTAGAACAAGTTAGACAATGCGATTTTCTTCTCCATATTTTCAAGTTATTCTGAATCGTTTGACACTAAAATTGGAAAAAGTATGATGCCAAATTTTGATACGTCGTCGTCGTCGTTGTCGTCGATGTTTTCTGAAAAAAAACCGGGTCAACGATTTCAAAAATTTAAAAGCCATGCGACTAAACTCGATGATGATCAGTCGAGACGTTTTTTTCAGAATTTGCGAAAAAGTGCTAATTATTCGTACTTGGTTTAGCCAACCATCTTCAACAAACATATCAAATTTATTACTCAAATTAACACCACACATCCTAGACCCCCTTGGGGTCAAATCGTTTACCATATTAGCCGATTTTATGGTTATATAGACAATGTATAATTATATATTCACAGCTAGAACTATTAAAATTTACTGTTAAATATTTTTTGTATTCAAAATTTAATTTAACGCGTGAGGTCATAAAATAATTCATTTTCAATTTGAAGGTCTTAAATGGTATGAGGAGTGTATGTACTCAGTAATCAATATGCCCACATGATTTTTGAACCACATATTACTTCTAAAATGATTTATATAACAAATCAATTAAATTGATATTAATTATCAAAATTAATATAAATAACTATAAATTTTTTGTAGATTTATAGAAAGGTGTTTAAATGCAATTATCCAGATATTTGGTATAAGATCGTTTATAGTATGCTTATTTTATTATTTCAAACAGCAAGAATATTCATAATTGAAAATAGTAATATTATTATTCTATTGAGACAAAAATTGCAAAAATAGTGATATTCACCAAAAAATCCAATTTTTTAATTTTATTTTCTGCTAATTTTTTTCACGTTCCAAGTCGTTCTGAAGCGATTGAGACCTACCGATGTTACAACGAAATTTGAAATAAAAATTCCAAAAACATTGTTTAGACGATTTTGATGAAATTTATTATGGTCATACTAAACTTACTAAAATAATACTGCCTTACGAAAAGTGATTATATGTTAAATTTAACTGTTAATAATTTAATTCTAAGTAGATTCTAACTTGACTCCAGCTTAATTCTGATTTGATAGTCACAATTGAGATGTTATAAAAGTTGATAAATATCAAATCTTATTAATCAAATCGATTATTATTTACATATATAGAGAAGTTTTTGCAATTTGCCCTAATTCTACTTGATTCTAACTAAAATATTACTAAAAATCTTCTATTTGTAAGTGAATTCTAACTACATTTTAGTTTGATTCCAATTTCATTCTTACTTGATTTCAACTACATTCTAACAAAAAAGATTCCAATTTAAAATTTTATCAAATTATTAGTAAAATCTTGCTATCTCAAGTTTATGGATTTATTAATTAATTCAATTATTATTTACACATAAAAAATGATGTTAGCAATTTACTTTATTTCGACTTAATTCTAACTAAAATATTATTAAAAATCTAATTATCAGTGAATTCTAACTACATTTTAACTTGACTCCAATTGCATTCTTACTTGATTCCAAATTCAGTCTAATTTGATTCCAACTACGTTTTAACGAAAAGATTCCAATTTAAAATTTTACTAAAATATTTGTAAAATCTTGCTATCTCAAGTTTATGGATTGATTACAACTAAAATCTTACTTCAATATTTTAATTCTGACTAGATTCTAACTAGATTCATATATATTTACGAATTATATATGTTTATAGACTAATTCCTTCATTGATAAATAAATATCTTATAACGAGACAAGCTTTTACGTTCTAGTCTCAAATAAAAATTGAATATAGAAACTAAACTTACGCATGGCATCGTGCCTTAAGGCAAATTGCTGGCACTTCCCGTACCAAAAAATTTTTTTTTTAAAAGCGCGTAAGCGCCGCGTTGCCGTCTAACGCATAAACATTGGTACGGAACCCATAGGAATGTAAACAAAATTTTTATTTATTGGTAAAATCTCTATTAAATATCTGATAATTTGATGTGCATATGTCTAATGATCATTTTTGACCGCCAGATGGCATTTTTTTTACTTTTTTTGACTAGATCTCCGAAACCGCTAGACCTGCCTTCATGAAAATTTGATCAAAACTTCATCTTGTTAATACAAGTTGTTGTTACAATGTTTTTTAAATTATTAAAATCGGACGCTCCGTTCTCTTAAAAACTGAGTTACCGGTTTTGGCACTTTTTGCCCCAAATCTTCGGAACGGCTAGACCTGCCTTTGCCAAAAACTAATCAGCATGTCTCCTTATCAATACGAATCGAATGTTTTTTGAATTATTCAAATCGGTTGATCGGTGTTCCCGAAATCGTCGACGAAAATTTGTAACCGCAAACACGCACACACACACACACATACACACACATACATCCATTGTTTCTAAGGTATGCTAAAATGTTCAGAACGTTTTGTAACGTGAAGATATATAAAAATTTTCATTTTCGATTTGTTTGCGATTACTATAACTTGCCCTACGGGAAGTTAATAAAAATGATGTAAATTAATTATAATGGCTTGAGTAAAAGAATTATTATTCCTCAAAAAAAGCCTTAGAATTTAGATTTGTGGTAACCAACCAGCCAAAAATAATTATTTTTCGTAAGGCACGATGCCATGCACAAAAATTGTTAGTTGTTTTATTTTCAAAAAAAGTTTTTGGGAAAAGCTTTACACCCCCCACCCTTTGCAAAAGCTTCGCGCCCCCATAAGCAATCGCGCCCCACAATTTGGAAACCACAGCCTGATAACCTATCAATCAATTGACACTCATTGTGTTATCAGCCGTAATTAATATTCATATTAATTAAAATCTTATGGGAGTCTTATAAGAGAATTTCTTAAGCCGATTTCGTCCGAATCCGCTCCGAGCCGCCTTCGCCTACGTTCGTAGCGCCCAGTGACGCAAGCTCGTCTGTGGGCTGTCGTTGCCTCATTGTTTAAATTTAGATTTAGTTTCGCGACGGTTGGCACTGCCTCAGCATCAAAGTGCGGCATGTTCAAATGTACGAACGATTCGACCTCAAACCTCACCATGATATGAAGTGATAATTAGTGTTTAATAATAACAAGTGATTTATGATTTTTTTAAAATTTGTGTTTAGATTAGATTTAGTGCAATGTATCGATCACACGTGTTAAGGCTGTTTTTTACAAATTATAGAATTTTGTGTTCCCTAGTTTTTTTTATTTTGTGTCCAATAACAGAATCGTTTAATGTTGACACTGTGAATTATGTGAGCTATTCTGGACCAGATAAATCTATGTTTGGATATTCTGTCGCATTGCACAAGGAATATGGGGTACCTTCGTAAGTTCTAAATTTAAAAATAGTTAATTAAATTTTAGTCATTAAAATATATGAAAATATTTTTACATCCATAGTAGACAGCGCTCCCCAAAAAAACCAAATTTTGACTCAAAAACAAGAACCCTAATTTTAAAAAAAAAAAAAATTAATTATTGAATATTGCCTATACAAATCTTATAGTATTATATATATATATATATATATATATATATATATATATTTATAAATAATCTATATTTTAAATTCTAACGATAATTTTTTAAGGTCAAAACTTTCGCGCTCATTTTTTACTCTTTTTTCTGTATCATTAATTGCAATTTTATCAAAATAATTAATATAACAACGTAATTGCACAAATTATCCAAATATAGAGTATTATATTTTAAATTATCCAAATAAAAATATAGAGTATTACATTATTATAAAATTATAGTAGTAGATATATCATGTTTATAAAATTCCCATTAAATTATGCTAATAATAGTTAATATTATCAGAAAGTTTTATATAATGTGAATAAAACTATTCAAATACTCTATATTTTTATGAAAAAATAATATAGAGTTTTTATAAAATTCATAAAATTATTCTAATATTTTTATAAAAAAAATAGCTGATAATAATGCCATTATTATAAAATACACACTGAATTAATCTAATTTCTTTAAAAAATATGGTAAATTTTAATAAGAAAAATATGGTTAATAAATTTTGTTTTGTACTATTAAACCATTTTCAAATTTTTATATTTTTATAAAATTCATTTTTTAATATTATTTAATTATTATTTTATTTTTTAAATTGTGAAAAATTATGCCATTTCCTTAAAGTTCATAATAAATTATTTTAACGATACTTTATTTTTATAAAATTCACAGCAAATTATTCTAAAAATACTCTATATTTTTATAAAAAAAAGATGATAATAGTGCTAGAATTATAAAATTCATAATAAATAAATTTAATATTACTAATTTATATTTTTATAAAAGATGTAAATAATAATGCCATGTTTATAAAATTTATAATAAATTATTCTAATAATACTCTATATTTTTTATAATTTCTCTATTTTTTTTAACACTATATTTACAAGTATGGATAATAAAGCAAATTTTATGAAATTCATACTAAATTATTCTAACGATAGGTATTCTATATTTGTATAAACCATTTTTATAAAATTTACACTAAATTATTTTAATAATACTCTATATTTTTTATAAAACATGTGAATAATAATGTCATATTTATAAAATCCACATTAAATTAATTTAATTTCTTTTTTTAATTTTTTAATTTGAAAAAAACGTATTTTTATAAAGAGTAACAAATTCTGTTGTGCATTTCTCTTCCAACATATTATTTTTACTAATTTGTAAATTATAAAAGCACTTTTCAAAACATTGGGATGCTACTGAGCTTTTCCAATCTAAAAGCTTTACATTTAATATTAAAGCTTGAAGGTTTTATTATTTAAATTTATCTTAATTGCAAAAATTATAATTATAACGATAAAATACACCAACGCAAATTCGAAGTAAACTATTCTAATAATACCATTTTTTTCTAAAAAAAAAATATGACTAATATGACAAAAAAATCGTATGAGTGATGATTTTTATTTTTAACAGTTCAATCAGTTGCAACAGATTTTTTTTACAAATTTTTATTACTGGATCAAAAACTAACTTTTAAAAATATGGGCGACTACTGAGCTTTTTCAGTATAGAATGAAAGCTTTACATATAAGATTTAAGATTTAAGATTTAATTTAAAATAAATATAAGAAAATATAATTTAAAAAAAATAAGGATTTAATATTAATTTAAAATATAATAAATTCTAATAAAATATGATTTAATTTTTATTAGGCATTTAGGTTTAAAATATCACCCTCATTACTAAATGACTAAGGCAGATTGTTATTTCTATTGAAGAGTTAGTAAACAATTGTCATACAACAAATAAATCAAATCCACTATTATTCATTACAAATTCACATTTTTATCAGTATTCAATCTTGATAATTTGAATAAGCCTCACTTTACATTAATATTACCCTTAAACAGACCTCCTAATCCTCTCTAATCCTAATCATTTTAAATTCATATGATTGTTGAGCTTATGAATGCATTCATAGAACTATTTAATATTTATCATTGTTTATAAAATATCACTGTAATACCAAGAATGTTGTGTTAGTTAAATTTCAAAAGTGTCGGATTATTTCTAAGATAAAAATAATTGAAATTTTATATCTTCTGGCTTAATCCAAGTAAACAATGTGATATATTCACATTATTTAATCCTATTCCCATTACTATATGCAAAGTTTTATTTTTATCATTCTAAATTGTAGTCAAAAATTATAACTTGAGATTTAAAACTAAGTTCAGAAATATATTGTATTAATATATATTAATAATTTTTTCACCTCATAATTCAAATTTTCAAATTTTTTTTATTAAATGACAAAATATTTGATATAGAGAAAATCAATTGTTCATCAGCAAAATTTACTTTTTAATCAATCATTTATTCAATAATATAAATTATATTTGCTATTACAATTTGCAAAATGATATTTTTGTTATCAATTGCTTATTTTGAAGTTCTTCAAAAATTATATAATTAAAAATGAATTTTTTATCAGCAAAATATTTTTACAAATTATTCATTTAACATTATGAATTATATTATATATTATAATTTAAAAAAAAATTTTTTGTTATTAATCGGTTATTTACACGAAGATTGTTATTTATAATTAGTCAATATTTTTTAATATTTAAATCCTTCATCAACAAAATATATTTACAATATTTTAAATAATTTATTTACCTAATAATATGAATTACATTGGTTATTAAAATATTATAAATCCAAAATTCGACAAAATGTCTTAAATTATACTTCGATTGGTTCTTCAAATATGTTAGTTAACCAAGAGGGTAGTAGGAAGTACTACACAAATTGCAACTAGTAGGTAAAGTCATAAATACCATATATAAATGACATATGTTTTTTTTTTCTTAAAAACATCTGAAAACGATTATTTTTGAAAATTTTGAAGGCAATATCCACATATTGTACTTTTTGCCACGGTATTTGAAGTCGAGACAGCCGAAACATGTGTTCACATCATGTGGTACACAGGCTAATGTTATTCTACATGTATTTATGATGAAATTTCGAAGATTATTTGGCAGAATAATAAATTTACTTACTCATTATATTAAAAAAAATATTGTTCGATCTAGAAGATTAAAATATTTTTTATAAAATTTAAGATACATAAAATATAATTAAAGAAACTATTATAAAATGTACTTAAGAAATATTTATTATACCTTATTAAATTTCTTCTTGATTTTGTGTACATTTTTCTAAAACTAATATTTCTCTAACTAAAAGCTTTTTTCTAAGATAATATAAAACCACGATCCATTAATGTGCGAGGTGAATCCCAACATTATTACCTCGATCAAAACTAAAAATACACCAATTTTATTAACGAAGGCAATCGGCCTAAAGAGCTTGATGGCCTATTTAATACCACACCCTGTTTATAATATCAAAATACATTGCCCTATAGTATAGAACGTGACTTGCAAACCTGATTCTTCTTAATTACAACGGAATTGCTTAGAAAGCTAACAAAGGCATATGACAGGGCCATTAACACACATTAAAACTCGGAACGAAAACGTCATAGAGCACTGGATCGGAATAACGATGAATTGTTTTAATCAATCATAATAAATTACTCTTTTTTAATCTTTTAATTTGATAACAGCAATCAGAATTACGTGTGCAGCAATGTTCTATGAGCATTATTTGTTACAAATCGTCATAATTTGTCTGGAGAAGCAATCCATCGGTCTTCTTTTTTACTTGGCTGAATAACAAATTTACTTATTTATAATTTTAGAAAATTGTCTGCATTTGGGAATTAAAAAATTATTAATTCATTTTAAATTTAATTTAGATATATTTAAATAAATTTTTCTTTTATGACCACTGTTATAGGAAAGTTATGTTATATAGAAATTTTTGAATGAAAGAAATGAAAAGAGAATGAAAGAAATGAAAAGAGAATGAAAGAAATGAAAAAAGAATAAAAGAAATAAAAAGAGAATGAAAGAAATGAAAAGAGAATGAAAGAAATGAAAGAATGAAAAAGAATGAAAAAAAGAATGAAAGAAATGAAAAGAAATGAAATGAAAAGAGAATGAAAGAAATGAAAAGAGAATGAAAGAAATGAAAGAAATGAAAAGAGATGAAGCCTGAAAAGAGATGAAAAAAATGAAAGAGAATGAAAGAAATGAAAAGAATGAAGAATGAAAAGAATGAACCCTAAAAAGAGAATGAAGCCTGAAAAGAGAATGAAAGAAATGCCCATGAATGAAAGAAATGAAAAGAGAATGCCCGAAATGAAAAGAGACTGCCCGAAATGAAAAGAGATGAAAGAAATGAAAAGAGAATGAAAGAAATGAAAAGAGAATGAAAGAAATGAAAAGAGAATGAATGAAAAGAGAATGAAAGAAATGAAAAGACCTTTCTATAACCCTTTCTTATATGCCTATAATATTTTGAGAAGTTCGGGTTGACTTCAACTTTATTCTATGCAAAGTTTCATCAAAATCCAAAAAGCGTAAACTTGAAGTATACCTTGCTAAATTTTTTTCATAAACGATTCAGTAAGACTTCAATAATAACAAAATTTTAAATAAATATGAAAATCATATAAGAATTTCAGGTTTCTATTTAAATTCAGAAGAAATTACTACTTGGGAAGATAATACTTTAAGAATTTAAGAGTAGGAAATTAGAAAAAAGATGAGTTCGTAGTTTACAATTAAAATTTTAAAATAAATATTATATGGTATATTAAAAGTATGAATTTACATAAAATATGTTTCTACATGAGTCTCTTTCAAACCTCAGATCATAAAATAATAATAATATGTTCAATGACAAATGTGGTTTGATGAACA